GGAAGAGAGTGCAGATCACGGAAGTAATTCAAGTTTGCGAAACTCTATCCTTCTTTGACTGCTATAGTGCAGTGAAAGGTCCTTGAAAGCCAAAGATATTAGTGAAATAGTTTAAATTCAAGCTACTAAGTTTATTGAAGTTTTAAGGGAAAACTGTCTAGTGGAAATTGCTTGAGTGGAGACATACGTTTGTTTCTACCATAAGAGCGCAATAAATAGGCTATTTCAAAGACAAAGAGCACCATCAAAATTTCCGTGAGCTGTCGAACGACTTTAAGACTTCAACTCTATACAAAAACTCACTTTTTTCAGAGGGCCAAAACAGGGGTATGGTAAACGGAAATGATCCAAAAAGTTCTGTATAAGCTGTGTTGAAATTAGTCGACATGGTTAAAACAATATTTTCAAAGTACAAAAATTATTTTATTTCAAACTGTTGTTCACTTGATTTAGCCAAAACAGAATAGCTTATTTATCTCTGTGCGACGCCCACAAGATATTTACGAAACTGCCAATAATTATACAGCGCTGACTGTGCTTGCAAATCCTCATTTGCAAACCAGACAAAGCCGAATCATTGCGTTTCGAGTACGAGAGTCCTCGCTAATATGCTGGAATGAAAATAAAGCTTTCTTTCTTTGACGGTAAGTGTAATGTCGATGGTATGGAGACAAAAAGTTCTCTATTGGTTCTCGTTAAATACAGAGCCTTGAGTGAAAGACTTTTAGACACACGCGCTTAGCCATCGCTTCCTGAGCAGAGTTTTGTGAGAGTGAGGAGTGAGCTCTTCTTCTGTGTAATCGCTAAACCACTAGAGCACTAATGAACGGTCATTCATATTAGCGCTCACCACCTCGATCGTTCAGCAATTGTAACCACAAGTGACGAAAGCAGATGCTCTGCACTCTCTTTTTATACAACAAGCAATGATATTTTCCTGAGAGTAGTTTTGGGAAAATCCTCAAATGCATAAAATCTTAGTTTGAAGGTCATATTCCTAAACAGCATCTTTGTCCAAAATATAAATCTGCTCAAATGGTATAACCATGTTGGCCGTTTTTCTAATAAAAAGTTACTCACTACCTAACCGTCAAAATAGAGAAATGTCCACCAATTGACTCTCTTTTAAAATTCGCTAAATGACATAGATTGTTCAGCAGTTTGCCACAGTTACAAGAACCGATGGAAATTTCACTATGCAAAATGTGCAGTGGAAAAATCTGTTTTGTTTTTACTTCACACAGAATTTGCTTAATTGAGGGCATTCCACAATATATAGCTAATGAGAGACTTACAACGTTTGAAAAGTAAGGAAGCCCCTACGCAGCGTAACGTCGATCGCATCTATAAACCGTTCGCCATACTTTCCCATTCTAATATATTCTCATAGATTGTGATATTCTTGTGTCACACGAAAAGTCAGTAAAGCTTCCATCCATTTGCTTTTCCTGCCACCGATTCTCGCATGGTCTCCGGTTTACCCCTCGTGATGGTGAATTCTTGGTGAAATTTCATTCCCCGTCTTTCACTGAATCACTCAGTGAAATTCTTAGGGAGTTCTTATTGTGGGTATCAGTAGGGTGCTCTAGCAACAGAGAAGATCTCTCATACATACTAAATGTAGAGGCTATAAGATATCAAACTAATCCATGGTTTCTAGAAACAAGCGCCACTGGTTGTGAAAAATGTTACCAAAAACTTTTTCACAGCGAAAGCAGTGCTTTCTTAACTAATATTTTTATACAGATTTCTTCTCAAAATGGCAGTTGCAGTTTGGGCACATTGCCGTTCGCCAAAATTCTGCTTTCGCGAAAGTAGGAATTTTATGTCACAGCATCACAAATGAGAAAGCAGAACTGATTCTTGAGTCTGGCAACCTGAGAATTGTCGCATTTGGTGAAATTGCTCTCAAGTGAGCTCTTCCGCCCAGCTCGCTCTCATTCAAAATTCGACATTCCTTCACGTTCACTCTGCGACTTTTGTGCACATCAAAGCAGCTGATTTTAGCATAAATTTACTTCGGAAATCTTTTTTATTAGGGAGTCGAGAACCCTGAAGCACTTGGAAAGTCAAAGAGCTATCACGTCGACGCTCTTCACGTACGAGTATCACATCCTCTGTTGTCTTATTGATTCTCTTATGGTGACAGGGAAATTTGCTTCAAGTTAATTCTATAATAGTTACTCACACATTTAGGAGACGAGTACGAAAATACAAACAAGCATGGCGAGACATTCATCCGCTCCCTTTATGATTCACCTGCTAAGTACATTCTCAACAGTCTTGGGATGTGGAGTGTTACCTGCTGGTCAAGGTGGTGAAGAGAAGAATGTTTTTGTGCTAAAACTTTCAGTCCTATATGCAAGTTCATGAACATTATTTTGGACGAGCATTTCAAAAATATCAGCAGTGCTCAACAACTGTTCTAGTTTGAGCCTTGATGAAATGATTTCCAATTTTGAATGTGAAGAACCGGAAACATGCTTTAAGATTACTCAGCATAATGATTTAATATCAGGTATTCACTGCGAAAGCTACGATATGTCGTTGCAGCGAGCAAAAGGTCGTTCAACGTTACTGGCATCACAACTTTGCCAGTTGCCATGGCTTACTCTACTGAACCCAATGTTCGAGCTCAAGTCCCTGGCATTGCAAATGACAAGGGAGCAGTCCAGGCTTTTGTACAACGTCTTGTAATGCAAACAGTGAGTTTTTGAGCCAAAAATTTCAAAGTTTCCCATCCTTATTTACAAGTTGTGAAAGACTTAGAAAATGAGCACTAATTTTCTTACAGTTCTCAAGCCTTCTAGTGCTAATCTAACTTGCATATTTTCACATAATTCGTATCAAAATATTTCCACCTCAGCTCGTCGAATCAGTAGAGAAATTGCTGTTCAGATCTTTGACGTTCTCGAAAGCCAAGCACGCAGTGCATTCCTGCCTGATGCTGTAATCTCCACCATTTTGGGTCAACTTGATGTTAACATCACTTACGAACCACTCCAGTGTCAGAAATTTGTTCGTGATGCAACGATAGACAACCGTAGGTCTTCAGTGTGGGATCCTATGTAACACTCCAAGGAGAAATATGCATCCATCAAAAACGCAGCAGCATTTTTGTTAGCACTCAAAAATTTCTAGAAGAATATTGGAAAATGCTTTAGATTTAAAGAATACCTATCAAAATGGCACTGAAATTGGAGCCTCCAAATACGCCATTTTTGCACGAGTTTTCATGTCCTTTTTTCTGAGAGATGTAGCATTCTATGTGCCAGGTCGTTTTTTGTAAGGTTTTGTGAATAGAAAATTATTCACTGCTCAAAACTACTTTTGACTTTTTTCCATGCCCCTTGTAGAGAAAGAATGAGTCTGTCTGAAGACTTGGGATTTTTGCAGAAAACGATATGGATAATAGATGCATTATCGTTGGCACTACGGTGACGGGAATCTGCGTTAAAACGATGGCAACGCAAAAATGTGTGGATCCAGGCAAAGCAACAATAACGCCTGTCCCCATGGCTCACACATCAATTTCCGGAACTATTTCGGTTTGCATTGCTTTTTTTCACAAGCTTTTTGAAAAGGGAAAAAATCTGTTTAGACCACAAACATCATCATGGCAAATTGGCAGAAAGCGATGTGGGAAAGTGTGGTGAACCGAGCGGTTCGAACGCTGGCTTCGGGTCCGTTTGCATCGCACTTCTTCTCGGCAACTAGCACTGTCGGCGGAAATTGAAATCAAACTTCGTTGTGCCTGTGGAAAACATTTTTGTCCAATGATATTTGCTGTAGCAAACAGAAGCGATAATTTATTCAATAACATTGGTGTTCAATAGTCAAAATAGTGCAGTAGATTGCATTAAACTGTGCGATGTGATAAATATCGGTCTGGTGCTTTTCTTGAAAAACTGAGAAGTTCGCAAATAACAGAAATCACTTAAAGAGCTTCTTCTCGTTAGGAATTGGAAACGTTTTCGTCGTTGCTGCTTGCTGCTCATAAAGAGGGAAAAACCTTGAGGACAAAGGATTTTTTGTTTTCCGCCCCCTATTTCGACCCCTCGGACAAAATGCACTTTTTTGTCTCTTTCTAGATTTTAGTAGTGCTTCGATAGCTAAAATCAAAGGAATCCGAGCAATGTGTATAATTTTCAAAATAGCTTTATTATTGCACTGTTATAGTAAAAATAAAAATCATCTTCTCATCCAATCATTTTTTGCTCAACAACGCTTTTCCTCTAGCTCATTAACAGATCGATAGCTTGAATCTCGGAAATTCCAATGAATTTTTGCTTTTTTAGAAAAATCTCCTTAGTGCGCTGTAACAGCCAAAAGAAGGTTAATTTTCGCATAGTGTGACATTAGCACCAAACCACCGGCATGTGAATAAAATTTCGCAACATTGCCGCTAAGCCACCGCGCTTTTTCCGGTGCCAAATATGTGAAACCTAATCCTTCTTGATTGTCACAGCGCACTAGGAAGTCTTTCTGAGAAATCAAATAATCATTGAAATGGTCAAGATGGAAACTATAAAATGCCTATTAATTATAAGATAAAGTTATGATTAGCTAAGAGAATTGAGTGGTGAATAAAACACGGCCTCAGGCGGGAATCGAACCCACGTTTCATCCCATCCGGGGTACGCGTGCTCTACCACTACACCACTGAGACACATTTGCCCGACCAATCATTCTTCAACATCTCAATGTTAGCTATCAGCCACCAACCTTTGACAGGTTTGGTCGGGAATGCGATTTCGCTTTATAAACCCATTTGAGCTGATAGCTATTCTAATTAGCCACTCAATTCTCTTAGTTATGTAAGTAACATAATAACACTGCGAAAAAGCAGTAAAATTCATAACTTCGAAGTATTAGTAATTAGAATAGCTATCAGCTCAATGGGTTTATAAAGCGAAATCGCATTCCCGACCAAACCTGTCAAAGGTTGGTGGCTGATAGCTAACATTGAGATGTTGAAGAATGAGTAGTCGGGCAAATGTGCCTCAGTGGGTGTAGTAGTAGAGCACGCGTCCCCGGATAGGATGAAACGTGGGTTTCAATTCCCGCCTGAGGCCGTGTTTTTGTTCACCACTCAATTCTCTTAGTTATATAAGTAACATAATAACACTGCGGAAAAAAGCAGTGAAAATATCATAATTTTCGAAGTTATGATTAGCATGAAATGTTTGGACAAGAAGCATAACTTTTTCTTGCCGTTACAGCGTATTATAAAACCAATTTGCAGATAACTTATCCCGTCGAAACTCCTCTGATTTACCCTCTTGGAACCATATAGGTCACATAGACCTATGGGGCATTTTAGAGGCACTACAGTTTTGTAAGGCGAACGAACACATAAGAAGTGGAAATGTGGGAGAGATTGCTTGGTAAATGAGAGTTCCAAAAGAATATTTTCACAATCCAAATCACTGAAGAAATTCCTGTGCGAGTTTTTTTTTTAAAAACTGAGAGAACGTCGATGTGTCAAGAATGAACTATTTCTCAACGTGAAAAGCCATATTTTCCCAAAACGAACACATTTCCGAACGTCATTTTAGCATTTGTTTTCTTTTTTAGATTTATGTTTTTATGGCCGTTCAATAGCTTAAGAAATGGCAATTTTGAACTATGCTTTTTTGTGGTTTGACCTTCTAACTACGTCCTCCTTGTCAATGAAATGAAACATTTTGCAATCGCAGTCCATTTTCTAAACTTCACACCGGAATTTTTGATGTTATATAATGATATTCTAGATTAGATTAGGTAATATTACTGGAGAGACACATGAAAACGCATTTTCAGTGGGAAAATTGCCCAGCTTTCTTGCATAAGTCCACTATCCCTTATGAACTGAGTGGAATGCAGGTGCATTGTGTGAAATTTGTTTGTGTATTTTCCTTCCTTTTCCACTCAGCATAACTTTCTGTCTAGACTGCTAGTAATCATTCAGCTTGAAAACTGGAAAAATCAGAACTGAACCGCATTAGTAAGGAGGCCATCATAGCAAGTTCTTCTAAAAAGGAAAAAGACTTGGTGCTGAAGAGTGCATGTCGTGTAGTAGCTAGAGGAGCTCTGCATCGGCGTGCGAGGTCATTAATTCAATCTCGCACTCATGGCTCACCAGGCCTTCCGCTCTTTAGGGTGGTTAATTGTGCCGAACTTGTTTGGGAGCACAAGCAGCGCTGGCTCAGTATATCGGTAGGAAACACGAGTTATTGTGAAGGCCAGATATGCGTTCAATCAACTTGAACCGAAATGTGACCTGAAGACGATTGCATCGGTCATCTCTCACAGAGTCTTCGACGCCAAGGGCTTTATGCTTCTATCTTGCTTCTTTAGAAGTACGCTATTTTAACTTCACTAGGACTCTATTCAATATTATGAAATGGACTTTGGATTCTAAGCATACTTCATCGCTACAGAAAATTGATTACTGGAATGAGTTCCATAAGCTGATTTTCGTTGAAGGGAAAGCCCATGTCTCAAAAATTTGTACTTTCCAGAAAGCTTTATATTTGGGAAGTTGAGAATATAAGTTGCCTGGCTCCTTGCATGTGAACATAATGTCATTTGGTCACTTGAGTTATTTGCTCTTGACATAGAAACGGATCATTTCTGTAATCTCACACTTTGTCACGTCCTCTTGAAAGAAATGCGTTTTCTGAGTCGGCTTAGAGTTCTAGTAGTTGTTCGTAACTTCGATCACAAAAGATCCAGTGATGCATATAATTTTCGGAGCGCATGCGCCGCAGTAGTTGCAGGTGCTCTGCGTCGCATCCATGGTCGAGAGTTCGATCACTCGCCTACGGCTCACAAAGCCATCCATCTTTCCTTCGCCTGTGAATTGTTTGGTATCACACTGGTCTCAGACTTGTGTGGAAGGATAAGCAGCACGAACCCGATTCAGTAAGGCCATAGCAAGTTATTGTTAAAACCAAATATGTTTCCAATCATCTTTAACGAGTTAAAAATTGAAGACGAATACATGGCATATCCCTCAGGGATTGATCCGAGCGCTTTATTCTTTATCTTTTCGTATCTTATTTGAACAAACCTGCTTATGCATGGTTACAGTAAAAGTAAAATTCTTTTTTACATTTGAGCACTTTTTGCAGGAAGGATCTGTTCATGTAGAAATTTAGCATACAGTCGATAGCTCAAACCTCAGCGATCTAATGATGCAACTGGTTTCATCGAAGGAAATTGTCATTGCGTTGTCGCAGCCAAAAAAGCATTGGGTTTCGCAAATTTGAATCATTCTCATTTCCCGCACCCTGATCGAACTCTTGCGAAAGAAGCGTTTTCTGACTTCTCTGGAATTTCAGCAGCCATTTGATAGCTTAAGTCGCGAGAATTTTGAAATCTATTTAATTTTTGAAAGTGGCCCCTTTTATAGAGAAGGTGGCAGAAATGTAGTGGATGCACCAGAAATAATAGTGATGGTTTAGGTGGATTTTCTTTGAAGTCGTGTAGAATTTGTTGCCCTCAGGCTTCGTTGGTTTACCTCGAACTTAAGTAATCACGTCTTTGCATAAAACAATGCTATTCCAATAATTAACGGCAACAAATGCTAGACAAATAACACGCAATGAATGACTTAATTACAAGAGTAAACACCACACAAGCACCGAGGAATAACTATGAAGCATGATGAGCTATTTGAGAAACTATGTGAAAGATATGGTTGATGAGCTTTAGCACAGGAACGTTGAGACGGTGTGACTGGCCTCCGCGTTATTACCGGCTTCTTTATATACGGAATGAGGCGAGAGGCTTTATCTGATCAAGAAGGTTTTCAAAGCGCCAACATTCAGGTTTCCATGCATTTCGCTGTTATCTATGCACTCATGAATTTCCTATGTTCATGTTAGTCGCTCTATTTCGTAGGATTTGCATTTGAGGATATAGTCGACTTACGACACCTTTTATTGCAACCTGCAAAAGCCAAAATGAAATCATATTTTACACTCAAGCATTTCTCGTTGACAAAGTTTTCCCTTTTAGATTTATAGCAGCCATTCGATAGCCTAAAAATTGACAATTACAAACCAAAAACTTAGTTTTTGATACAAATTGCTTATTGCGCTGTAATATTTTAAAAAGCACTGAGCTTCGCACTCGTCCGCGTATTCTTCGTTCCAGTACGCAAATGGGATCGATCGTGTAACGCGAATTGGAAGAAAACTTCAAAAAATGATGTATATCAAAATTCTCGTGATTTAAGCTCTCGAAAGACTACCAATCTCTCAAAAACCAAGTATTCGCTTTTTTTTCAGGGGATCGAAACAAGATTCATATAATGAAAGAGTAGTGCATGACTGATAAACGTGAATGAAATATAGACAAAATGTAAATAAGCAAGCTCAAAATTGTTTAGTAGGAGTGCGAACTACGACCTTTTTCCAAGCATTTGGTTTTCCTTCAAAAATTTGGCTTTATGAAAAACATTAACATCAATTCCAAAATGCGCGATGAAGCGATATTCATATGGAGTTTAAGTGGATTTACAAGAAGTTTTCAAGTCCCCTTCAGATTTTCAAAAAAACCCCCATTTCTTAAAAGTCTGCTGATAATGAAAGTTCTCCCGAATTATCCATGAAACGGCACCGCAATGCAATGTGCACGGTCCCATTTTTGACGAATAGTTCGTTGTTTTAGGTTGTTATGACATGTTTCAATCAAATCTAGCCTTACTGGAGTTTTCCTGTACCACATTTTCTCATAAATGGCGATTAAGTCTGCCTTAATGACGACATCAATCCAAATTTCATCGTGAAGCTACCACATTGTCAGTGAGTCGACCTGCGCTCGCCCTCGTCGCCGCGCGATCTCGCCCGCCTGTCGCGCACAAAATCAACGAGAGGCGGTTAAGCTACTACTATTCTGAAACCCTGTCTAAAATCTATTACACCATAACAGAAATTTTCAGCCTTTTATTAGGTCTGTTATAGCGATTATATTGTGAGAGACGTGTTTCGGCCTTTCAGCCTCATCAATTGCATGGTACCTTCGGTTTAGTCCGCTCCTCGTGAACATACCTCCTCTTTAGACAAATCGAACGCCGAACTTTTTACATTGAGCGAACGGTGAAAGAATCACAATGGCGTTCTTTCAGAGTGATTGACTGACATTGCACGGACTTACGGCTACTACAGAGCATATGCAACAATGCCTTTCAGTAGACTATATTGAGACCCCGCTAAAAATCATTCCTGTATATAGAGAGATATGTCCCCGAGGAACTGACTGAACCGAGAAGCATCCTACAACTGATGAGGTTGGAAGGCTGAAACACGTGTTTCACACCATATAAGTGTCCTAACAGACCTCATGAGAGGCTTAAAATATGCTGTCAAGATGTACCGAAAAACTACTGAGATTTTACTGGCTGAGACGAAAAACCAAGAACAGACGAGAGTCGATCATACTATGTAGCTGCAGATGAAATGTAATTTTCTCTTCGCTGCTATAACACAATAAGAGAGTTTCTTTCAGGAACTAAGCACAGAATTGAAATCGCCGTTTCTCAACCTATCTGATGAGTACTAAAACCTAAAGAAATAGCTTTGCCCGGCGAGACATGGCTTTGAATAATAACGCGTTCAAAACAATATACGCCGTCATCAGAGGGATTGATGTGGAACTTGTTCTATAGCGAGTACAGTGAACCTGCTAAAACCCAGGAGCATTCTAAATTAGCTTTAACTGTAAGGACGATCTGTACTTATTTAGTACGCTTACGTACGCTTGAGTCTTCCATTGTGGACCTGAGCTATAATCCAGGAATACTGGGTACAATGCCACCAGATTGGCTAAGGCGAGAAAACACCGTCTATGATACCAGAGATGAAATACTCCCCAGAATATGGGAAAGAAAGTGTCGGCGGCATTGGCACCTTCATCGACACGAGCTGGCTGAGGATACGGATACAACTAACAGCTCACATCGGACGTGTACGGATGGGGAAATGTGGAACAATACCGGTCTTGAGACTTTACGCCGGCTTCGCATTCACTCCAAGCTACGACAAAGACGAGCCAGTTTTTTGACAATTGCCGCATGCACTAAGTGCCA